ATAGTATTGGAAAGTGATTTTGCTTAGCCAAAATCTAGATCACACAACACATATACTTTACTGTCAAGGTTGATACCTTTAGCCCATTTCCAATCCATCTCTATTTTACTCTCCAATCTCTATATTTGAAGAGTAAAATAGAGAATGCCCTCTCCAACCCCTCTCCATATTACTCTCTAGTCTCTATACTCCATTTATAGAGAGGTGAATAGTAGTTCTCCAAATTTTGAGAAATATTATTCACCTCTCTATTTCACTTTTTGATTATTTTAATATTACTTTTATGATATCATCAATTAAGTATTTATTATTTGTAATTATTTTCTAGTGTAATATAACATCTAAAAATATATCATTGAAAAGTTACTACTTTATCCGAATTAATAATTTTTTTATTATTTTTAAAAAAAATTAGCACTTTAAATATGTAATTTAAAATTATTTTAACATTATTTATATTAAACAAGACTATTAATTAAGTCTCTAATATTTGTAATTATTTTCTAAGTAATATAATATCTAAAAACATATTATTGATAAGTATACTACTTCCATCCCGAATTAAAAAAATCTTCTAATTTAATTTTTTAAAAGTTTTTTTCACTTTAAATATGTAATTTAAAATTATAATTATTTTTCACTATGAAAAATACACAAAATTTACATGATAATCTAAACAATCTACTTTTATGTTATAGTGATAAATGATTAAACTACACTTTTTAATGAGTATGAAAATACTTGACGCAATAGTTTAAAATGGAATAGGGAAAGTATAATTCAATATGAGATGAAATCGTTAAATTAAACAATTGTTAGCTACAAGTAAAATAAAATAAGGACAAAAAATTTGCTCATATTGAACTCCGTAATGCATTAATAGAGTATTTATCGGAGAAACGTAACAATCTTGAAAGTTGAATATTTATGTAAAATTTAAAATAATTTTTACGATAATGCAATATTTATGATATAATTGCAGTTCATCAATAATTTCACTTTGATTTGAATTGTTCGCTAATATGTATGATATATAATATTTGTCGCATTTATGATATTAAGAATAAATATAATTTTTTTATTAAATGAAGAATTTGAAAAGAATAAAATTTTATATTGCATAAAGATTATATAGATTATAGGGTGATTATTTACAAAAAAAAATTAATTTATATTATGAAATAAGGAAATAAAAATGAAATGAAAATAATAATATAATATTGAGGGGAGAAAAGAAGATTCATTTTTAGAGAGTAAAATAGAGAATTGGGCTGGAGTTGATTGTCTGAAATAATAAAAAAAAACACTATATTTAGAGAGTGAAATAGAGGGTAGGGTTGGAGATGTCGTTGGAACCACAAGTTTGTGGGGGGGGGGGGGCTTCGGGAAGTGTTAGATTATTTTTTGTCTCGGTTATTTAAATTCTTTTGGCGTCAAGAAAGTATCATAGATGGCTTAATGACTTAGGACTACGCTAATTTTATTGTGGTGCACTATGTTTTTGACAATTGCATTGGACCCCCACTCTATATTGCGCGTTTTCAGTAAAATAATTGCCAATTCATTCAGTGGAATTCAAATGAGTAATTGCTTGGTTTATATCAATTTTAGGTAATGAGATAGATTAACCACTCGAATGAGTAATTGCTTGGTTTATATCAATTTTAGGTAATGAGATAGATTAACTTTCTCACTATGCAGTTACTGTAATAGATGATTAGTTTTTAAAGTTGCAACTCGAGCCTTGTGTAAGTCACTATATATTGTCAGTTTTTAAACAGAGAGCAATAGCCAAAAAAAAGAACGTTGTACAAAATGCATTACAATGTAATCCTTAAGGTTCTGTTTGAAAAGTCACCTGGTAATTGGAATTGGTGTAATTACTAGGGTGGTAATTATCAGCCTAGTAATTACACTGTCTAGTAATTACACTGACATGTTTGGTTGCCATAGTGTAATTACACTGTAATTACACATTTTGGTTGCCATAGTATAATTACACATGTTCTGTTTGGATGCACATTTGCAATCATAAAATTATATTAAATTTTAAAAATAAAAATTAATTATTAAAAGTTATACTTGATAAATAAGAAACTTTATAAATGATATTAAATTAAATATTTAAGATATATATTCTTTTTTGAAAATATATTAATTAATAAACATATATTCTTTAACTAATATTATGAAAAATAATTGATTTATATTTTTTCAAATTAATATATTTCAATTGAATTGATTATAAAAACTAAAAGTATGAAGTTTCTATGAACATAGTGAAATGCATGTTTGATAAAAAGATTAATATATAAATAAAATGTCATAAATTATTAAATATTTGACAAAAGATAATCTATCAAGTCTAATTAAAAATATGACGTGCAATGTGAATTCAATATTACTAAAACAAATAAAACTGAAAATATAACATAAGTTATAAATTCAAAACAAAAAATTTAACATAATACTCTTATAGCAAATTTCAACATAGCATACATAAATATGATTTATTTTTTTATTTTTTTTAAAAACGTAAGTGTATAACCTTATTTAACAATAAATTCTATTTAATTTAAAAATTAGAATACTAATAAAATTATGCTAATGAGAAAATAAGCATGACATAAAGAAATAGATAATATGAAAAAAATTTGCATAGAATTACGTAAAGTAAGGTTAAGAACAAGAAGAAAATGAAATATAATAATAAATAAATAAAAACTTTTAGAATAATAAAAAAAACTTAAAATAATAGAAGTAAAAAAAATTAAGACAAAAAAAAAAAGAAAGTAATCCGCTGGTAATTACACCATGTAATTACCAGTAATTCACAGGCAGAAGTCTCTGTCTGTGAATTGTAGAGTGTAATTACACTTACCAATTACACCAATTATCTGCTGACCAAGTAATTACATGTCCAACCAAATAGGACAGACAATGTAATTACACCCAATTACACCAAATCCAATTACCAGAGTGTCCTTCCAAACAGGCCCTAAATAATTTTTCATGCATCATCAACCTTAATCTTTTGTTTCCTGCATCATCAACCTTCATTCCCTTAATCTTTTGTTTCCTGCATCATCAACCTTCACCCCTTCATGCAGACATAGTGATAGCAATTGGAGCATCCGTCGGTGATATGTTTAAGAGGGAGAGATTGATGTATCAACAGATTCAACTATTTTAAAAGAGTGAAGGTTCAAGCATAATAACTTAAAACACAGGTCTGAGAAGAGAAACAACATCCAAAGCCATTTAGATTGAAAGACAACAAGCACTATAGCCAAACCAATTGTTCTAGCAAAATAACTTTCTTTCATGAAAATACTGCAAAAAGGGAAAATGACTAACTAGAGTAGAATCAAGGAAAATTTCACCTTTACTTTACTCCGGAAGCAGTGGAGACACCACTTGGCTCGAACTGTCATGAGGAAATCTGATGGTATGAAGTTTTCCCCAATTCTAATCTTTGACCCTATTTACCTTCATAACTCATAAATCCGTGCAGGTTCTCCGATTACTACAACAGCCAGAAAGATCACTTACCAATAGGGGTGTCAAATAGGCGGATTGGGTTGAAATTGGAGATATTAAAATGGGTTGAACTAGAAATCGAGTTGGGTCTTGAACCGCCCAAATTTACTTTGGGCTCAAATGGGTTGGGTTCAAATGGGCTACAAAACGGGTTGGGTCTTGACCCGCCCAATTTGACCCGATTAATCTCAATAATTTTAACATAGTAATATTTAACTTTTATAATCACAATTTGAATTTCTGCTCAAGATTTTATTTTTAAAAAGTAACAAATAGATAGATAAATTCTAAAAGATGTTAAATAGATAATAATTTATACATTTAATATAAGAACATATCTTAGTAAAGAGTTTTAAAACGGGTTGAAATTGGAGATTGAATTGGGCTCAATTGAGAATTCTCTTAAAACGAGTTAAGCTTGAATGGGTTGAGATTGAACCCAATTCAAATTATCTTGACCCTTAAAATTTTGGATGGGTTGGACGGGTTACCTATGTTTGGGTTCATTTTTGACACCCCTACTTACCAACACTCTGAGAGTCAAACTAAAATTTCTTTTTCCGTGGCAGGGTTGCTCCAGCTTTCCTCACTTCTCATCGGCCAAATCAATAGACAGATGAGAATGAGGACCACCAACAGTAACCCAATGTAGCTTCCCGTTAACAAACTTTAGCCAACTCAGAGTCTAACATAACACCCTGAAAATCATCAACTTAAACATTATATGTCATAGCTATAACCACCCTCGATCACATAAAAATACAAACTACCTTGTAATCATCATGAAACTTATCATTATCCAAAACCAAACCACAGTACAGTTATGAAACCAGTAACTTTCTTGAACTTCCTAATAGACAGATTCCACAGAAGTAAGAATTCTGACACAATTTCAAGATGAATCCTTTAAAGATGAATGCTAAGAAGGAAAGTTTTTGGTGATAAATAGTTGTTTGAGTGCACCAAAACTATCAGTTCGTGTTGTAATTTGGTTCATAAATGTGTTAATAATACTAGCTAGGTAAGAAACAGTTGGACAACAAGAGAGACAACAAACAAAATGGGTGCTTCTTAGCTCATGTTATTTTAGGCTCAATTAATCTAAATCTTCTAAGTATTACAATGTGCTTCAGAATAACTTTTTGAATGTGCTTGCTCTCCAGAAACAAAGGTTATTCTTCTTTCTAGTGCGCATTATGTGCTCCACTTCAAGGATGGTTAGCCTTAGATATTCCAGAAACCATAAAAACATGTTAATAGAGGGGAATTCAGATGAGGGATTTTAAGGCCAGTAAGTTTTTAATTCTTGATTTTGTCAGTAGTGCTGATGTGGATAACCACACAGATCTTAAGGTTTTGAACTTGTTTTCTTAAATTTTGACCTGAATGCAAAAATATGTCTGTAGCCAAAAACAAACATTCAAAAATATGCAAGAAAATGCAACTGCTCAGATCACTCTGATAGATGATTCCCATACACTCATAGCATTCAAATATGTACACTTTACCGAGAAGGCCACAAACTACTTCTATTAACCCGTCAAATGGCTAACTTTACATGTACTACACCCAGCATCAATAAAAAAATTTATTCATTCTGCGTTTACACATTGCCTCCTCATTTGTATCATTAACCATGGTAAACTAATATTGTTTGGTATAAACACCATGTGTGAGTAATTCTTTTTCCGTGTCAACTATCTCCAAAACGGTTTGATGCACCGTAACTTATGGAACTACAGTTCAACAATCTCCCATTCTCTGCTGGATGCATCATCCTACAGTTGCTCGTACGAAAACAACTAAGTTGCTGCTTCAGCTGCAATTTTTGAACAAGTAAAGAGAAATTAAAATTCTTAGTAGGTAGATACCACAATACTAACCAGCTTCCATCGAATACTACATAAATTTGAATTGACAAGCAAGAAGCTACACAACATTGTGAAATAAATGGTAGTAACATTAGATGAACAAAATGTAACTTAAGATTCCAACAGAACTTGTCTTTTCCAGTTTTTCCTGCTTGTTTTCCTACTTTTCCAATATAGAAAAAATTAGGCTAAATCAAATGTTTGTCAAGCTAGCATAAGAAAACGACATATAAGCACCTAAATACTTACTTAGACATGGCTACTGGCTATTTGGTTGCTTTTGAACTTCTGCTTCTACTTCTTTTATGTTGTTAACGGCAACTTGAATTTTCTTCGACAAAAGCTCCATCTGCTGCTCAACATTTTCCAAAAAAGTAACTAGCTGCTCTCTGTAAAGGTCACATAATTTATCCTGACGCTCCAACTCCATAGACAGTTCTTGGATTCTCCTGTCCTTTTTATCCTACAAGAGGAAATCAAAAGGCAGTTATTTCAGAGTTCATTAGGAATTGCAGGCCCAGTTTTGTTCACATGAAGACAGACACACACTTTAAAATATCATTAATTGACAAGGCTTGATATCCTTAGAGGGGCACATGCTTCACCCTAGCCACCTGTTTCCTGTGGGATCCCAACATTAATCAGTTCTTGAAGCTTCTTCTGATATTTTTCTAGAAGTAATAAGAGGAAATTCGTAAGTGTTTCGCTACCTAATAATGGAGTTCATGAGGCTTAGGCCACAATCAACACATGATAGTAGAAGAACAAATCCTACATTATTTACTGACATTATAGCAAGAAAGCACAAATGAACAAGCACGTCACCAGCTAATAATGAGTCCAAATCAGTAGGATTTGCAGAACAAGGTACACGGAAAGAGATAGGTGAGACACCAATTGCTGTAAATAACCAAGTCCCAGAGGAAGCCAATGGAACAGTGACTACAGATCCAGCTGCAGTCCAAGTGTTTGACAAAATTGTTCTGAAAGCAAAACAAAAGGAGGCACAACAACAATTGATGGATGTGGATTTGGATGCTAGTGGGAAAGGCAGTTCAAACCCTCCTAGTAGCAGCAGGAAATCTTGGGTTGAGGCAGTAGAAGAGGAAATGGAATGCCCGAATGGAAGGGCTCAGGATGGGATAACTTTGATATTGCAAAAGTGGTAAATGCAGGATTCAAACTGGACTATGTGGCTCCAACCACACTAGGTGAATCATCCTTTGTTGAAATTGGGTGGAAGATATTACTTCTGATATTAAATATTGGCAGAACTCAGTAGTGTGCTATGTTTTGGGTGCCCACCCTCCATTTAATGTTTTGAAAGGGTACATTCAAAGACTACGGGGTAAACATGGGATTAACAAAGTTGTGATGTTGAAGAATGGGGTAGTCCTTGTCAGGTTTGATACAGCAGTGGGTATAAATGAGGTGATCCAGGGAGGAATCTATCATTTTGATAGCAAGCCTTTTATTGTAAAGGCTTGGACTCCTGATATGAAATTCTCTAGAGATGAATTGTACACTGTTCCCATTTGGATAAAACAGCCAGGACTAGATTTCAAGTACTGGAGTCAGAAAGGATTAAGTAAGATTGGGAGTTTGGTTGGGAAACCACTAATGGTAGATCAAAGTACAGAGAAGAAGACTGGACTAAATTTTACAGTTGAGGTGGGAATGAATGCAAGTTTGCCGCATAATATAATGTTCAGGAATGAAAAAGGCAATTTGACAGAGCAAAAAGTATCATATGAATGGAAGCCTACACTATGTAAGCATTGTGAGAAATATGGTCACTCAGTAAATGTATGTAGGAAGAAGAAAGCCGAGAAGCCAGTGGTGGAAAGACAAGATCAACAACAAAAGGAGCTGCAAATACCCAAGGGATCCATACAAGCCAATGCTAACTCCTCACTGCCAGGAAGAGCACATGTAAATGGGGGAACAAGCCAGAATAAGGTCAATTCACCAAGTGGGAATCCAATATTAGGGTGCCTCTCTGATAAAAGGCAATCTGGTCATGAAGACTGGGTTACCCCACTAATATTTGGGAGGAGTACAGATTTGCAATACCAAAATTAGGAGATTACTGATTAAATACATTTCAGGTGTTAAACCAACAAGCCACTTCATTGGTACCTCCGAGTCCAGAATCTGTTGGAAATGTTGGACAGAAGACCATCCCATCTTCTGGGAATGGTTAGCATCCTAAGTTGGAATGTTAGGGGGCTAAATGCCCCTAATAAGGGGCAGGAGATCAAGATCCTTTGCAATGGAGGAAAGAGATGGTTTAATTGGGCTGTTAGAAACGAAAGTAAAACAGAATAAAGTAGAACAGTTAGCTAATAAACTGTTTGGGGGATGGCAATACCTTACTAATTTGGAACATCATACCTTACTAATTTGGAACATCACTATAATGGTAGAATATGGATTACTTGGAAACCAGATTTTTACCATATAGTTCCAAGATGGACGATAGAAAAACAGGTAAAGCTGATTGATTACTTATCAATCACCCAGCCCCCTTTTTCCTAGTCTGTATGATAGGAAGGCTTGGTAGCAGCTAGACTAGATGAATTATTCCATCCAAAGCAAGAGAAGATCCGAGAATGAAAGCAGATCTGCATAAGCTTTTCACCAAAGAATTTGTGCACTAAATATCTTTCATGAGGTGACACAAACTAAATTGACTTGAAAGATTGAACTGAAAACAAAAAACAAGTAAGCTTAAGATGAAACACACAGAGCACTTCTTGATTACCATTGCATTACCAGAAGAACAGCCAGAAGGCACCAATGGATGGGTATGCTCCTTAACAAATCTCGTCACAGCCAACTTATCAAACTTGTTAACCTCTACCCACATCATTGCCTTGCACCCTTCTCGTCTGCTGGTGCGTGCTTTTCGGGGTGGTCCATAATGGTTTTTCATTTTTCACATAATAGCCCTGCTTGTTACATGAAAGTCGTCGTTAAAGGATTCTCTTGTCAACTTCTGAACGCCGGCACTGATCAATGCGCATGATAAACCCAACACGCCTAGCATAGTCATCATAAAATTCCTTGGCAGCATCTTCTGACTCGAACTCCATCCCAATAAATGGTTCAGGAACCACATTATCTTGACATGCAATGGACTGGCTTTCAGCAAAACAATCTATTGTAGCAACTCCAGCCCCTAAGTCCACTACCACACCAAAATGATGGATATCATCTAAGAAGACCATCAAGACATGACTCCATCCATAAATCAAACAATAAAAATCACAAAGTAATAAAAAATATAAAAAATGTCTTCTCCAGTACAGGATCAGTGGCACTTAGTTTGGTGTGAGGTATAGGTATAATAATTCCAGGATCAAATGCAGGACTATTTTGCCCAGGTTGAAGTATTAGGCAGTTCTGAGATTATTTATTTCATCATTTATACCTTAGTAATGGGATAAGTTATGTCATATAGATGGTGGAATAAATTATCCCAGAATATCTTATCCCAGTATAATTAATCCCGGGATAACTTGTTCCCAAACAAACAAAGTACCTCCTACCAAACAACTTATTAGAAGCATTTATCTCCCCACCCACGTATATGCCCCATTGCCCAGTGGAACTAAGAATAAAAGTGCTGGCCAAAAACACTCTACTGTACACGGAATCCAATCACGAAATGCTCATGTTCGTGAATTAAAGACGAGGCTGCACAATTGCTTTCCCTAGGAAATTGAATTTTTAGCTTAGGGCTTTCACTTAAACGCCTTCTGCCATTGAACAACTACATAACAATTATCATATTTTTTCCAATCTTGTCAGTATTAACTTAACTACTTCAGTGCTTAAATTAACGATTCAAGATTCAAACTCACTGGTATGGATAGCGGAGGCCGCTTTTGATGTTCCGCTAGGGACCAAATGTTGTGGGTTTAGGGCCGTTGAAGCTTCAATTCGGATTTCAGACGTTTCTTCTCCCAAATCAGGCTCTTCTCGTCAAACATACATTGCTCATTGGCGCGTCAGAAACAAAAAGTTGAGTATTTACGCAAACGGATGATATAGGGATAGGTCTCGGGAGTAATATTGCCACCAACGGATAACCCAAATAATTTCATAAATTAAGTGTTATTTATAGGGAAAAGTACACTAAATAGTAAATAGCCTAAAAAGCTAAATCATTTATACCCATGTACTCCATTCATTAATAACTCTAATTATGTCTAACTAGTAAAATTATTCACGCCTCGCGCGGAATTTTAATACTTAAAATCTATCAGTTATTAAAATTAAAATATTATATTATCTTACATACAAGATTACGTAGTAACGAACATTAATAATTTTATAAAATTTATCCTTTTTTTGGGGAAGTTTAACTATTTGATTTTTTTGAGGAATCAAATGAACATCAACATGATATATTAAATTTTCTAATAAATAAATAATCGTTGGTGAAAGGATACATAAATTTTAAAAGGCTGAAAAAAGTGAACACATATTCTAATTTTAACGTGTAGAAAGTTCAGCCTTACCTTTTGCTTTAAATATATTATTTTTGTAGCACCCCGGATTCAAAATAGGGCTAAGTAACTATTTTCAGAGGTTGTAGGTGTCAACCCACGGAGGTCACCCACGGCTCGTGGTGGGACCACGGACCGTAGGTGTGGTCCGTGGTTGGTTACCCCAACCTTGGCTCAGAAACCCAGAACCCACGGCCTGACCAATGGACCGTCGGTCATGCCACGGTCTGTGGTCGAGGGTCCATGGTTCAGACCCCACTTTTCAACTTCCTAACCACGAACGACGCTCGTGCAGGACGGCCCGTCATCCTTTCCACGGTCCGCCAGTCCTGGTAGTCAATCAGCGGCTGGCAGTTATTTTAAGGGGCAGTTGGGTCTTTCCTAATTAATCTAGCCTAATACTATGTCGTTTTGCCTATGTCTAAGACCCCTATATAAGCATTTTTACCCCCAAATTTCTCAATAGAAATCATTTTCTCCAAACTCACCAAAAAGAGGAACTCTCAAATATTCCTCTCTCAAGAAGAAGAAGAAGGAATCACCTAGGGTTTCAATTCAAGGTCTCAATTCCTCAATTGAAGATTAGCAATTGGCTTCAAGGTATGTAGTTTTCATCCTTGAATTTCTTTCATTCATGGAGTTCCCAAATCCTTCTATTTCAAAGTTAGAATTCCCCAATTGAGGTAGGGTTTTCTTCAATTACCATGGGTTCTTATGATTATTAATTTAAATGATTGAATTATGATCTCTTATGCATTAATTGATGAAATACTAAGGATTTATGACGTTTTCCCGTATGAACCCATGTAATCCTCATGTTTTCAAGTTATGCTCCTATAATGTGGGATTTTGATTATGAAGGATGAAGTTTTATGAAAGTAAGCATGTAATGAGAGAACTACATGAATTTATGATGAAATCCATATCTAACCCATGTTTTCTAAATGTTGATGATTGAAAGTGGATTTTTAGCGTTGAAAGGTGATTTATGGAATTATGCACGTTTTCATGAGAATTATGTAAATGTTTTAAAGATGCTTTGAGAGTAAAGTATCAATGATGATGACATGTTGTTGTGTTGTTGAAAGGATTTCTGATAAACACACTAAAGCATGATTGTGAAAGGTTTTCTCACAAAGTAAGGATTCTAAGGTTGAAAGGTTTTCTCACCTAATTGAATCAAAGATAAGAAGCTATCCTAATGAAACTTAGCTTGGATTGGCAATATGACATGTCCTTCCATGGATGATAAGAACAAGTAAGAAATGACTATTCTGTGGGAATCATGCTTAGCACCGAGAAGATATTGAGATGGAGGCTCTCTCATTAGTAGAGGTCGGGTTTCTAGAAGCAATCTCTTTATCCCTTACCTATGTTCCCCCATAGGATGATTGTCTAGATAGACATTAGCTAGTGGATCCACTTATGCTAGAAGTTCATAGTCCTTAACTTGGCAAGTAGGACAACCCTTTTCGGTGTGGGAGACACCGGGGATCATGTTATAGCTCACATGGTCTCTATATCGGTTAAGGCTCATTCCCACAATAATGATGAACTAAGGTTACTTCAAGAAGTATCTCACATGAGTTCAAAGGTTCTAAAGATGTTAGGTTGCATTGGCCATGTTTTATGAATTATATTTTCTACCTCATTTTATATCATGTTTTAACTTGGTCGATTGCATATCATGAAATGTCCTGTTTTAGCATGATTTAAATGTTTTTGCATAGCTATCATACTTGGTACATTGTTTTGTACTAACGCATACGCTTCCTTACATTTTTCCCAAATGTAGGTTCTGATATTCAGGGTTCGCAGTCTCATGACTAGTGATTGGCTTGGTTGATTTCGCGAGCTTTGGTGAGTCCTCATGCTTCGAGGATGGATTTCCATCGTTTAGTTTCTAGTTTGTATTTGAGTTTTGGACATGAAGTATGGGCTAGGCCCAATTTCATTCTATTGTATTAGATGGCTTGAGACAAAGTGTTTAGACTTCCGCTTTCTTTTATTAACATTGTTGGACTTGGACTATTTTTTTACTTCTATTGTTCTATTTCTTATGTTATGAAAGCTAAGTGGCTTGTATAGGGTCCTTCGGGGTTCTATACGCCATGTTACATCTAGGGTGGACCCATGGGTCGTGACATACTTGGTAATCAGAGCATAAGGTTTAGAATGGTCCTAAGATGTCTCATAAGATACGTCTAATAGAGTCTTGTTCATGAGTGTGAAACACACCATATTTATGAATGAAAGGCTACAAGATGATTAGGAAACTCCACTTCTTTCATTACTCTAAAGTTGTGCGATAAAGCTTAACTCTATAAGGTCTCTTTCCTAATCCTTACCCGATGCTCTACAAGATATGGCTACTCGAAGGGCTTATACTAGAAGGAATGTGAGGGAGAATGTGAAACAAGAAGCTCTTCCACAAGCTCCTCAAGCTTCGGTTGATCCTTTGGTCGAGCAAGTTACAAATGCGAAGTTTAGGGCTATTTTTCAAGTGTTGGCTCAAGCCATGACGGCCCAAGCCAATATGGAGGTTGCGGTTTCCGTGAACCCAAATGTGGGTATGGCAGTGAGGAACTTCACAAGGATGAATCCTTCGGAGTTTCATGGCTCTAAGGTTGAGGAAGATCCTTAAGATTTTATTGATGAGGTCTACAAGGTATTGATGATCATGGAGTGACGTCGGTGGAAAAGGCAGAGTTGGTCGCTTATCAACTAAACATTGTTGCTCAAATACGGTATAAATAATGGAAAGAAGGAAGACCAGAAGATGCGGGTCCTCTTGATTGGGAGAAGTTTAAGGCTACTTTTCTTGATAGGTTCTTTCCCCTTGAGATGAGGGAAGCAAATGTGCTTGAGCTCATCAACCTTCGTCAAGGAAGTATGAGCGTGAGGGAATATTCTCTAAAGTTCACACAATTGTCTAAGTATGCTCCAACAATGGTTGTTGATTCTAGGGCAAGGATGAGTAAGTTCGCATCCGGTGTACCACCATGCTCATTAATGACATGGACATCTCTCATCTTATGGTTCATACACAACAGATTGAAGAGGAAAAGCTTAAGGAAAGGTCTAGGGAGGTAAAAAGGGCTAAAAGCGGTGATGAAAATTTCTCTCATGCAAGGTCTGATAGACATGGTCGTCCTAGATTTCGACAAAGGTTTTCTAGTCAAGGATCCTACAATACTCCTCCTAAGTTCAATAAAGATAGGGTGTCTAACCCTAAGCCTCAAGTAGGGAATGGTAGTGGATCTTTGTTGCCTATGCCTACTTGTGCTAAGTGTGGAAAGAAGCACAAGGGTAAATATCTAGCCGGCACAAACGGTTGCTTCAGTTGTGGTAAGAGTGGTCATAAGATTAGGGATCACTCAATTCTTATGGTTAAGGGAAGAGAGGGAAAACAAGCTCATCTTAGTGGTTCAGGTTCCAATGCTCCCAAGTAAAACCGATTATATGCACTTCAGACTCGTGGTGAACAAGAAGGTTCTCCTGATGTGGTTACCGGTATGTTAAAAGTTTTCCAATTTGATCTTTATGCTTTACTTGACCCCGGTGCTACCTTGTCTTTTGTGATGCCATATGTGTCTATGAGGTTTGATGTTCTTCCATATGTTTTGTTAGAACCTTTTTTCTGTCTCTACTCTTGTCGATAATTCTATTGTGGCTAAGAGGGTCTATAGAAGATGTCCCATTTCCTTGTCCCATAGAGTTACTCTTGTTGACTTGGTAGAGATTGACATGCTAGATTTTGATATTATCCTTGGTATGGATTGGTTGCACTCTTTTTATGCTTCTATTGATTGTAGAACCCGTGTAGTCAAATTTCAGTTTCCAAATGAGCCTATCCTAGAGTGGAAGGGGGGAAATTCTATGTCCAAGGGTCAGTTTGTCTCTTGTCTTAAAGCTAGAAAGATGATTTCTAATGGTTGCTTGTACCATCTAGTTAGGGTGACGTATGTAGATTTTGAAACCCCTACTCTTGAGTTGGTCCCCGTTGTTAGTGAGTTTCCAGAAGTGTTTCCAGATGATTTACCCGGTATTCCTCCCGAAAGAGAAATAGACCTCGGTATTGACCTTCTCCAAGATACGCAACCTATTTATATTCCTCCTTATAGAATGGCTCCGGAATAACTTAAGGAATTGAAGGAGCAATTGAAAGATTTGATGGATAAGGGTTTCATCCGACCAAGTATATCCCCATGGGGTGCTCCAGTGTTGTTTGTTAGAAAGAAGGATGGTTCTCTTTGTAAGTGTATTGACTATGGTCAGTTGAACAAGGTGACTGTTAAGAATAAGTATTATCTTCTAAGGACAGATGATTTGTTTGACCAACTTCAAGGGGCAAGTTACTTCTCTAAGATTGATCTTCGGTCAGGTTATCACCAATTGAGGGTGAAAGAAGATAACATTCTGAAAATGGCTTTTCAAACTCGGTATGGTCATTATGAGTTTTTGGTAATGTATTTTGGTTTGACTAATGCTCCGGAGGTGTTCATGGATTTGATGAATAGGGTATTTAGACAATACCTTGACATGTTTGTGATTATGTTCATT